ATCCGACCCATCATCAGTGATTTCAATATTTCTATGCAATTAAGAGTCTATTATTTTAAAATCATATAAATCCTATAGAAATCAATAGCACAGTGAGCTAAGGGAAGCCAGCCACCTCAAAGACAGGAATTTTATACTGATTTTGAAATGTTGCCTCTCAATGAAAGAGTGCTATGAATACAGATCTCTTATATGGATTTGGTACAATAAACTGCATCTGCTCACAGAAACAACCTCGAATAACAGAGCACATTCACAACCTCTTAAAGCAGAGCAGGATGGATATGGTGAGAAATATATTGAAGCATTTCTGGTTGTACTGAATAGAAGTGTCCTCTCAATAACATTGGGAGATTCTTCATTTGTTGGCAGGGGATCTCCTGTAATGATCCCCAGGAGTCTGTTTTTAGTAGGCATATACTGCCTTAGGGAGAGATTTGTGAGTGGTTTGGTAAATTGTCAATGATATCCGGCTATATCTCCCTCCCTCCCCAAAATCCCAAATGACAGAGGGATTTACAGAGCATAAATGATTTGTCTGAGTAAGCACTACTAATCGTGAAATAATCATCGATACATATTTTTCCAGAGTGGTTAAAGCCACGTGGATCAATCATCTTATTTTAAAGTTTCTAAAAACACATTTTATACACTCTAGGTTTCAAAAATCTGAAATGCACATTCACATGATTGTTAGGAGTTTAGGGCCTGATCCAGAGCCCACTGAAATCCATGGGAATCTTTCATTGACCTCAGTGGGTTTTAGATCAGGTCCTAGAATAGTTACAGTCCATCACGCAAACTCTTACACACATCCAAGGATTTACTGAGAAAGACTCTGAAAGAACTCTCAGGAAATCAGAATTTAGAAACCGTTAGTTGCAACATAGATGAACAAAATAATGTCACAACTGAGATTGACACTTCAACCTTAACTATCCTAAAGTGCTATAAGGCTTTTCTGTAAAGTTTGCTTCCATGCCTAATAGCCAAAATGAGTTAGGGATGGATTGCTTGGTTTATGTTTGAATTTTTTTCTTTTATCAGAATGCAGTGTTACATAGTTGTGTCTGTTAATAATCAGACCAGTGGTTTTAATATGAATTAACTTAAGAGTCTCGTCTTTTCAATTTGTCAAAGCATCAAGGATATTTCAAAGACAATACTTTTAAGATGTGCAAAACAGAGCTCAGGGCCACCACTGAGAATTCTGTCCAAGGCTCCTTATTCCTTCACTTAACTCAGGAGAGTACTGATTATTTTATTTTTAACAGGGGACCAGGGTCCAAACCTTCAGTGAGTTTGGTTCTGCAAGTACTATAAATGACCAATGAAGTTTTCCAAACCACGCACAATTTTCTCCTCGTCTAGTGTGAATTTATAAAAACGAAGTGCAAGATTAGCATAAAGTTACATAAGGGTTTTTTCCTGCACTCCTAGCATACAAAGAGGATAGGAGAGGAAAGAGGTTGATCTGGGAACACAAGGAAAGCAGAATGAGGCCTCTAGAGATTATCTGTCAAACACAGTTCTGGGCAATTTTTCAAGATATCTTCCTTCATTTAAAAAGACTGATGGCTAAGTGCATGGTGGTTTCATGGTCTGAACAACCTCAGCAAACATGAACTGACTCCATCCTCCTCCACCAAAATAAAATACTATTTTCCTTATTTGAATTTATGAATTTTGTCTTACCAAAAATTATAAGGGGACAATTTAAAATCCCCCAATTAGTGTCTCATTGGTTACATTGCTTCTGTTATTTAAAAATGCAATTTTAAAAACATATACAAAGTGAAACATGCTATAACTCCCCAGAATATTGGTCTTCTTTGTGTATGTGGGATTGAATTTGCTATTTTCATCAACTGGATGATTCTGGTATTTAATTTTATCTTTAGATTTTAAACGTTTAAATGTCTTTGCTGTAATCAGCTTGTAAATTTATTGTTTTTCTCATTTAAAATTCATAAATAAGTTCCTATTAATAGTAGATTTGCTAGCACATTTTCTTTTAAAGTAGTCATTGTTATTAAATATTTAACACTGTGGATGTACATCACCTTTGGCACAAAGCTGATCCTTGTCCAAAGAATTTATAGTGTAAAGATTAAAAAAAAAATTGTGAACCAATTTTATATCAATTTATAGCCTCCATGCATTTTAGCACATTTTAAAATTACATGGACTAAATTAAGTATCAGTTCGATACTCATCTCATGTTTAACCGAAAATCTGATCAGCTATAATCTCATTAGTTATAATAGGATTTTATAATTTCTGTAATGAGATTACAGAAATATCTGTATCTAAAAATAAAAGGAATGTTTCCATGATTTTGATGAAGGAAAGTTTTAGCTATTCCTAAATTGTTCTCATTTGGATCTAAAATTCAGACTGACATTTTTATTTAGTTCTTAAAAAAGATAGAGATATATTTTGAACTATTACAACAGAAAATGAAGGGACATGCTCCAGGATTTCAAATATCCCATCTGGAAATTTGTTGCAATAAATGTGTTGTGGCTTTTCTGTTATTTTAGTTTTGTTTTTTTCATTTACAGTTCAAAAATTGAATGGAGGGGTATTTTTCCCGGTTAGGAGTCCAAATATCAAAGGAGTTATTCAAAATTTGCTGCTGCTTCTTTCTCATCTTTTACAGTCTCTGTATGATATCAGACAACAGACAAATTCACCAGGAAAAAAAATAAGTTAATTTCATTCTTTTAGAGGCATACAGAATTGTATTTATTTCCTTAGCAATTTCCTTATGAAGGGTAACCTCTCTGCCAACTTTCTAGGACTCAATTCTGAATCCCTATTCTAAAAACTTCTACTGATGTCAGTGTCATTTTTGACAAACAAACAATGCAAGATCCTATTTATAAGAGTCTAACAATACTTTCTGTCTTCATGACTAAGAAATAGAGCATTTCACTCCTATAAAAATTGACTCATATTTTACATATCTCCCCAGATTACCTCACTATATTTATACCAACATATTATATTAAAAAAAACAACCATATTTTATCTAGCTTCCTAATTATAACTGTTCTCCATTTTAAATTATGGTGTTAGCTACATGTGTGTTTCCATCCTTATATTTATGTATTTAGTTTTTTTATATTTTAATTTTTACTTTAAGTGTGGAGGCTGTTTTAAAACTATATATTGGCATTTTAATCCTTTTCTGTGTTTTTACTGGATGAATTGTTGGACTTTATGTTGAACACCTTGCCAGCTGCAGAAGGAGTTTACATATTACTGTTATTTATATTTTCACTTGAAAATAGCAGAATCACAAGTTTGACTTATGTAAATCTCAGACAGGTGAAAAAATATAAATTGTGGAATTCTTTTACTCTAAAATGACACAATCCCAGCCGTTAACTCTTAGTTAGCTGTTTAATTATCAACATGAAAAGAGGTGTCAACTGTGTTCTAAAATTGAGAATAGTAAAAATCTGGGAAAAGAATCTTATGTGCAGGAGGTAGAATAACTCAAAGAGAGAACACTAAGAACTTTCTAGCAGAGTGATGTTAAAAATCAGACTTATTTCATACCTTACTGATAGGCACCTTTAGGCTACAATAGCACAACAAACAGATTACAAATTTTATTCTAATTTAACATGAATATATTCCACAGCAATCCTATATTATAATAATAATATAATAATAATAATAATATAATAATATAATACAATTTCTATATTTTCAACTGTATACAAATTTCATAGCCTATTAATACTAAATATTAAATATTAAGAAATCTTCTCCATTCATTATCTTGTATGTACCTGAATCTTTATATTTTTATCAACTGCATCTCAAAACTACATCATCAGATTTTAAAGTTCCTAATTTATTCATTTTCAGAATCCCAGGAGAGGAATTTCAGAATACATTTTACCTAATTTCCCCCTCTTTTTAGCACCAGAAATTGTAGACTGGAAGAAAGTAAATGTGTAAAACCCCCAGCTACTTTGGAATAATGATTTCTGGAACAGCCCACACATTGAAACCAAAAATCTGTTCAAGATTAGAGGTGGTCACCATATTTTTCAGACATCTAGCAATTAGTCAATTACTGTTAATGTGAGCAAATTATTTAATAGGCAAAAAGCATTTCCAATTTATATAAACCATACCAATTTACTGGGTCTGGAATAAATTAACACATCCATATATTTCTTTGCTTACTGTGCCAAGCAAAGTCTGTAATATCCTTCCATAATAATATTTTGATAGGAAAGTGAATGTTCAGTTTGGATTTATACACAGAAATTTCTGCATTCTATTAGTTGTGGTGATCTAGTATGTGATGATCAAATAAAAAAAAAATCACCAGCAATTTAATTAAAATAAAACAGACATAACCAGGTAACAATTTTAACTGAATACAAAAACATTTTTTTTCTATTTACTTTCATTTACTATAAAGTACTCTTCTGTTTTTAAAATGACACTGCTTGAAGGAATTAGTTATACTTCATATTAATTATATTTAAACATCAAAACATTTAAAATGACCTAGAGAAAATAGCTGTGGAATATCAAAGACTTCAAAAAGCAATTAAATGCTAAATTCTTAGCATACTAAATACGATTAAGCTTGATAAAACATGCACACAAAATGTGACAGAGGTTTGCAGAAAGCATTTGACAAACACCTTTGGTGATAATCTCAGGCTTTTAAAAAAAGTACGGTTTAAACTCAGTTCTTGAATCAGTCATCTCCCGAGGCTATAGTAATATTTCAACAAAGTTATGTGGTCTGAACTATCCTCTAGTTTTCTTATTAATGAATACATATTTGTCTGATACTGTACAAATGAGATACATGAACATCTTAACTATCCTGCATGCATAGATCTGTTTCTAAGTAAATATACCAGAAAAGAATTGTGACTGAATTTTATTCTGAAAAGGATCTGTGCTCTCTCTGGTCTGTAAAAAACGGTCCGGACATTTCATTTACTGTTGACTAGAATTACCATGTTAAATTTAAAGAGGCAATATGATTGATTAGGAAGTGAGCTGCTCCAAAGTCAAAACAATACACTTTCAGATCCGCCAATGTCTTTCACCTGGGTTATTAAAAGGGGTTGAATGCTCTAGATGTTTTGGTAGAAAATTAAGAAAGTTACTGTAATCTCTAAACTAAACAAACTTCACTTTTCTCAACCCCCAGTCAGCTAGAACAGCTTCAATAACAGGTCTATCTGTCTGTGATTTCTAAATATTTCTGCCTCAGTTATCTAGTCCAGTCAAAACAAGCACCATGTTTACAACCAGGGCTGCGAGAGATTTCAAAAAAGCTGCAAATCCTTCCACGCTCATCAGAGCCAAGAATATCCCTAAGTCTCCTGTCTTTCCTTAACTGAATCCTGCCCATAACCTTCCTCTTGCCCCTTCCCTGATCCATTTTCTGGAACCATCTCATTCCTTGATCCCCTAATCCCCTCAGGAAAGAAGTCAGTCCCCTGCTCCAAAGAAAAGAGCTATTCAAGGTCTCTTCGTCCTTTTTCTATCGCACAGTTGAGTGGCTTCCCTTTTGCCATCACACAAGTCTCCTGGAGAAGAGCCTGCACCTTCTCATCTGTAGGAAACACAGTAGAACGCCACTGCACCTCAAAACCTCCCTTTGGAGGAGCCACAAGGGAAGCTGCTGCTCTTAAGATTCACAGATCTGCAAATCTGTTGAAGATTTATAATCCATCTGTCTGGCTGCTTGTGGCCAGTACAGGGGAGGTTGGAACAGGAAAAGAACATTCAAAACTGGTTTGATAAAAGCAAAAGAAGGTCTTTAAAAAACAAAGATAAACTCAGTAAAACTGAATAAAGAAAGAAAGAAAAAAAAAGGAAACTTCTAATTTGACTTTCCCAATCCCTGGGCATGAGGCTCAGCAAAATGGGAATTTGCCCCCCTCACTGGCACGGAGTCTCAAAAATAAATACATTAAAAATAAAATTAAATTAAAATAGCCAAAACTCATTCTCTGCCATGTACAAAGTACTGATTTAGTCTGTCATTCTACAGAGGGATCTGCCTTGGGATTTCTCTTTACAGAAGAAATAGGGAACAGGGGAGGACTGGATGAGAAGGGAAATGTTCCCAAGAGAGTTTCACAAGTTACAGCACATTTATTTCACCAGATGCTATTTTTAAACCAGCTGTTGCTATTTTTATAAAATGTCAGTGTTTTCCATTTGCTGAACTCTGTCCTCATCTAGGCAGCCCTCTGCTCCTCCCCCCAAAACTCCCCACCCAACACACACTTTCAATCAAACCACCCCCACACACAACCTTTCCCCCATAACTACCCACTCACCTACCCACACTCCCTCCTCTCTCTCACACACACACACACTCCCCCCCCCCAGCTGTCCTCTAATACCCACACTTCCTCTCCAACTTCTCCCAAAACTGGCCCCTACTTCCTCGGTCTCCCCCCCCACCCACACACACACTTCACCCCCACTCCCCACCATTCCCCGAGTGCTTTCATTTCTACTGTGCATCAGATCTGGCAAAGCTGCATTCTTAAAACAATATTTGAAAAGCCTGTCTTCACCCTCTCCCTTCCCCCCCCTTAAGCCCCCCCCTCTCCCTCCCACAAAAAAAACAGTTGTGCACAGTGCAAAGTCCAAGCTGGATCACCCAACAAATCTCCTGCTTTAGCTTCATTCCTCTCCAAGCACATTCCTGCCAAAGTGTGGGGGGGAGGGAGGGAAGAGAGAGCAAACAAACGCGACTGTTGCTAAGTTTTGCACTTTATACCCTTTTATATTTACAATCCTCTTCAGGCTAAAAATAGCAACACATGATCCATTTATAACTGGCCGGACATGCCCTGAAGCTGCTGGCGGGGCCCTGGCTGATGAGGGGAGCTTTTGCGTTCTTTCTACCTGAGCTCATTCCGCATTTAAAGGGGTCAGACAACTAATCTCCTACAAAGCACATACTCAAATGACTAGCTTCCAGTGGAGATCAGACCCTTAGGTCTGGTATACACTTAAAAGTTAGACTGACCTAGCTATGTGGTTCAGGGCTGTGAAAAACGTTTGCACCAGGGTTACGTCAATTTAATCCCTGGTGAAGATGCGGCGAGGTCGATGGAAGAATTCTTCTGTCAACCTAGCTATCACCCCTTGGAGAGATGAATTAACTACATTGATGGACAAACCGCTTCCATCAGCGTAGCTTTGCCGCTGTAGTATAGACATCCTCTTAGGATAACAGATGTAAAGAGACATTAAACTGTAGACCATCCCAAACCTCCCAAGTGAGTGACCAAGATTGCAAATGAAGAGCATACAAAATTCATACAGAATGCTTCAAAAGCTGTGGGATTCATTCCTTCAGTATAATGAACTGGTTCCATAGCTTTACACTTCCATGATCTAATTATTTCTGATGTTAAAAGGAGAGAGAGAGGAAAAAAAGGGGTGGTGGTGGGGAGAATCACAAAATCTGTGTGAAATGTAAGTAACTTTGGTTCTAAAATGAGTGATGGCCCTTGAAACAAGAGGTTTGGTCAGTTCCTCTGCAAGTAAAGGATATTTCCCCAATTAGACTGATCAGCTATTAAAATATTACTATTGCCTCTAACTTTAATCCCTGCTAGTGCTTTATGGACATGAATTTAACTACGGTAAGCCTCACAGTTGGTCTGGGAGGTAGGTATTCCTCTCATTTTACAAAAACACAGAGGACCAAATTAAGAGGGAGTGTAAATTACACATCAGCAAGTGGGTGTAAAGGAGCATAAATAGGGGTGAGTTACATATTAACAGGCTAGAAGACTGTCAGAAGAGGTTAGAGTGGCTTATCAGTATTGCCAACCCTGCGTGTGCAAAAATCATGAGTCAGACCCTAAAACATTATGAAAGTGTTTTAAGCATGAGCTTAAAACACCAAAACAACCCAAAAGAAATCCCAAAACAAAATCAATGGGGTAGTTTTTATTAATCCTCTGGCTTTTGATTCTTAGGGTGCACTCGAGTCATATTTTCCATTCTTTTCCTACAGCCATGGAAGCTAGTAACTTGCCTTTTTATTGTTTTAAAAAAAAGGTGATATAATCATGACTCCAGGAGCTGTGACATTAAAAAACGACTATCATGAGACCTATATAAAATTGCAAGAACTGACAACGCTGTAACCTTCATTTACACTTTTTAAAGCGTTTGCATTGTGTTTCCTGCTACTCGCCTCAATTCTGGATTCTTAGGAGATAAATCACATTATCTTAGTCCTTGTCTACAGAGGAAAGTTTTTCACTCCATGTTTTTCTGCTATAACTATATTGAAAGAGTATGTCCACACTGCTTTGTTTATGCTGGCTTAAAATACTTCCTGTGTGAATCATTGTGTCTACACAGCTCTGTGCTTTTCTGACATAACAACCCAGCACTTTAAGGGGGAAGGATAGCTCAGTGGTTTGAGCATTGGTCTACTAAACCCAGGGTTGTGAGTTCAATCCTTGAGGGGGCCACTTAGGGATCTGGGGTAAAAATCAGTACTTGATCCTGCTAGTGAAGGCAGGGGGCTCGACTCAATGACCTTTCAAGGTCCCTTCCAGTTCTAGGAGATAGGATATCTCCATTAATTAATTAATAGATATCCCATGGAGCAATGTTCTGCCACGAGACTTACGCATTCTGGGATTTTTCTCCCAGCACGTTGTGGGATATCTACCAGAATTCCAGGACTTTGGGTCAAACTAATAAACTCCCATGATTCCTTTCCTGTTCATCTGGTTTTAACAATCCAGCACCATTTTCAAATTGCTGTCAGTGTTTCCTTTATGCTGCCTGCTGAATGACATAATCCTAGAGCCATGAATACAAACAGGGTGCTCCAGATGTATCAACAGTCACACAGCCAGATGGCTCTGGAGTAGTTGGGAGACAACCACCAGCATAGCTGCCATTATACTGCACAAATACTGCTAGAGGAGGAAGAGGAAGAGAAGTACTGTGGTGACAGCACTGAGCAGTTCATTCTGCATGACATTTTACTGGAGGAGCTTCAGTAGGCAGAGCACCATTTCTGAGCTTGGCCAACCAGCACTGAATGGTGGGGCAGGACAGTGCTGCAGAACTGGGATGACCAGCTGTAACGATGCTGGTTCTGGCGGGACCCAACTGAGGTCCCAATTCAGGACCAATTGCTTAAAAGGGCAGTTACAGCCCAAGGCTGGGGTTTTTCCACCTCTAAGGCAAACCAAACCAGCCAGACTAAGAGGACTTTGGTCTCACCCCACTGGCTAACCACAAGTCACACAAGCAATTCCCATAGACACTCCAGTATCCCAGTATCACCACCAGTGCCACTTGTTATGGGGACAAATGATTATGAAAACCAATACCCCAGTAAAAGAAAAAAAAGGTTCTCTCGATCCCAAAGGACCAAGCCCCAGACCCAGGTCAATATACAAATCAGATCTTACCCACAAATCACGCTGTTGCCAATCCTTTAGAATCTAAAATCTAAAGGTTTATTCATAAAAGGAAAAAGATATAGATGAGAGCTAGAATTGGTTAAATGGAATCAATTACATACAGTAATGGCAAAGTTTTTGGTTCAGGCTTGTAGCAGTGATAGAATAAACTGCAGGTTCAAAATCAAGTCTCTGGAGTAAATCCACAGCTGGGATGGGTCATTCAGTCCTTTGTGTAGAGCTTCCATTTGTAGCAAAGTCCGTCCAGAGGTAAGAAGCAGGATTGAAGACAAGATGGAGGAGAGGCATCAGCCTTTTATAGTCTTTTCCAGGTGTAAGAACACCTCTTTGTCCTTACTGTGGAAAATTACAGCAAAATGGAGTCTGGAGTCACATGGGCCAGTCCCTGCATACTTTGCTGCGTTGCAAGGCGTATTTGCCTTCTCTCAATGGGTCAATTGTATAGCTGATGGTCCTTAATGGGCCATCAAGCAGGCTAGGCATAGCTAATACCAACTTGTCTGGGAAGTCTCCCAGAAGCATAGCATAAGTTTGAAATACAGACAGTATAGAGCCAATATTCATAACTTCAACTACAAAATTGATACACACATATAGACAGCATAATCATAACCAGCAACCCATAACCTTGTCTTAGACACCTCATTTGACCCCCTTTATACAAGATTTGGTGCCACTACAGGATCATGGTTGCAACAATGATCTATATGGTCCCAGATTATATCAATAATGTCACACCAGCGGCAGTATCTGAACTTCAGAATGCAGAAGCTGCTTTTTTCCAAGATCTATGCAGCGCTCACCCTGAAGCTGCAGCAAAGCGAACACCAACATGAGAATTCCCCTCAGCGTGGAGAAGCGTGTGGCCATCATCATCGGGAATCTCGCCATCCCTGATTGCTACCAGTCAGTAGCTAACCACTTTGGGGTTGGTAGGTCAACTGTCAGGGTTGCTGTCATGATGGCTGTGATGCTATTAAGAGGGTGCTGCAGCTCTGTTTCATAAAGCAATGCACATGAGGTTGTTGATGGATTTACATGGTTGGGATTCCTAGTTGTATAAGGGGGCCATTGATGTGATTTAGGTACCCATTATTTGTCCCCTAGCCCCTGATCCCCAGGCTTCAGAATTCAGTCAGATCTTGTATTCCCTTTCTGTTGAGGATCACCATGGTACATTCACCAGTATTAATGTGGGGTGGTCAGGAAGGGTCCATGCTGCCAGGATCTTCAGAAACTCATTCCTCTTTTACCGACTGCTCCCCGTACTTCTCTCTTGTTCTTATCCTGGGGCATGAGGCCTTCCCTCCAATTTTCTGTCTTCTTGGCCCGCTCTTGGAATGCCGTCAGCAAACATCTTCCCTCATCCTGTTTCTCTCCCCTCATAGGTTTCCCAGGCATTCAGGAACTGATAATGCCCCTTTCTGTGAGGGCTGTAGCATGTCAGGTACTAGGGGAACAAAGAAGCAATACAAATAGTTATTATAATACTTACTGGTTGAGGTCCCCTCCACAGCCCTGTCAGACTGGCTCTCTGTCTGGGTCTCAGGGACCACCTCTGTACCTGGGTTTCTAGTACAGGGTTTGGTGTGCCAAAGAGCTCGTGGTTGTCCAAGGGAATCCCTTCCTCACTGCGGTCTGTGGTTGGACTTCCAAACTGTCCACAACATAAAGGGATTCCACGATGGCCTCCCTAGCAAAAGTCTGGTCTGGCTTCTCACAGAATGCCTAGGCACTGGGAGCATTGCTGGAGGGCTTTTTTTTTGTCCCTA